GCAGGCAGCGCTGGACTGTGCGGCTGATTACGCTCATAAAAGAACGGCTTTCGGCGCTCCGATTGGAAAACTGCAGGCAATACAGGTAAGGAAGGAAGTGGAAAAGTTGAGTGTTTTCATTTTTCACTTGAGATGATCTATAAATGCCTCTTTCAGTTTAAACTGGCCGACATGGCCTTGGCCACAGAAAGTGCTCGTCTTCTCACCTGGAGAGCTGCGATGCTGCGGGATGCAAAGAAACCTTTTACTAAGGTTAGTGTGTCTTCTCATAAAAAGAAACTATTGTAAAATTCATAGTAAATGTGCTGATAGTTTATACTTAAAGGAGAACTCCGGCGCAAAATGAACCTTTGGTCTAATTACACATTGGTACCTAGTCAACCGTTATATGAGATTTGTTTTCATGATTGCCGAATGTAAATAGTTTTATCTCTAAAAACAGTTTAGCCTATAACGCTAGTATATACGGCATAGAGTAATGACAAATAAAAATCGCTTGTTATTACCACTAACAAGGCTCAAAATAGCCCCACACTAACACGACAGCATAACAAGGGTCCCTACATTCAAACCGAAGCATTGAGAACTTTGCCAGTGTCCAAACAGTTTAATAAGAAGATATTTTATACACACAGTCAACTTCGCGAATACAGGAAGAAGCCATCTTTGAAAAATAGTCTCTACCAGTCGATCTACGAACGCTGATCCAAGTGCGCTGAACTGTGCAGAATCTCATATGGTCCGTTGTTTCCAGAAGAAACACAAACACTTGTTTTTGTTTTTGAAAAACCGTTTTCTTCTCTTCAATATGTACACGTAACCTACTGTTCGCGCTCACCTTATCACCTTATTCACATCTCACCAGCACACTTGGATCGGCGTTCGTAGATCGACTGGTAGAGACTATTTTTCAAAGATGGCTTCTTCCTGTATTCGCAAAGTTTACTGCGTGTATAAAATATCTTCTTATTAAACTGTATGGACACTGACAAAGTTCTCAATGCTTCGGTTTGAATGTAGGGACCCTTGTTATGCTGTTGTGTTAGTGTGGGGCTATTTTGAGCCTTGTTAGTGGTAATAACAAGCGATTTTTATTTGTCATTACTCTATGCCCTATATACTACCGTTATAGTAGCGTTATAGGCTAAACTGTTTTTTATAGATAAAACTATTTACATTCTGCAATCATGAAAACAAATCTCAGATAACGGTTGCCTAGGTAACAATGTGTAATTAGACCAAAGGTTCATTTTGCGCCGGAGTTCTCCTTTAAAATTCATGGTAAATGTGCTAATAGTTTATACTTGACACACTTAATACCCTAGAGATCACGTAAGAAACTCCCCACTGTTAAAAATCTATCTTATAAATATGTACTGTATGTGTTTCTTTGTTCTCCAGGAAGCTGCCATGGCTAAACTGGCTGCATCTGAAGCTGCTACATTTGTCTCCCATCAGGTAATCGTACAGAAATGTTATTGGATCAGTGCGTCAGTTCTTAAAGTGACAGCAGCCTAATATTCCTGCAGCCAACTTATGAGATAATATTAAAAATATCCATATGGCCGTCTTTCCCTATGGTATCGATGTCAAAACTGTGGCCAGTGATGATGCTAAGTGGCTAGTAACTTAAAAAAAAACACTAGATTTTACCACTAGAATAAAGTTTCGCAAGCCCTGATTGTATATATTTTTATTTCTAAAGCAAGAAACATTGACAAATCATAGGTCGAGTAACCTCAGTATTTTGTTTAAATGCGAAGGCCATCCAGGTGCTGGGCGGAATGGGTTACGTCACAGACATGCCTGCTGAGAGACACTACCGAGACGCCCGCATCACAGAAATCTATGAAGGCACCAGTGAGATCCAGAGATTAGTCATTGCAAACGGCGTTCTCAAAGAATATCAACAGTAGGAGAGCTGATGTCCACGCCAACTCGCTCTGCAAAACACTGCTGTTACGTTACAGTGCCTGGATTGGTTGATCTGGTCTCTCACAGATCTCAGAACTGTATTACTGTGATTGGCCAGCACTGAATGAAGGAACGCTTGTATTGATGTTGCTCTATCTGATCCTGAGTGACATACGACTGTTTAAAGTGCATTTTCTTGTTTGTGCCACAAGAGTGCAGTAGAGTGTCTGGATCTTTTGCATTGAATCATACTAGAGCACCAGACATGGACTAACTTCAGTTTGACCTAAAGAACTTTGCTGATTTCTGTGGGAATTTATTGAAATGCATATCTGATTGTACATAAAGGGTTGGATGTATTTGTTATGCATTTTAAAATAAATAATAATATAAAATTTTATTACTTCAAATTATCTGAAGTTTTTATTGTGACAGCAAATTTTCCTCTGCAGTGAATTCCCTACTATTTGTTTTTTACTCATGTTTCTAGGTCAATTATTCATGACATGGGACACAGTTTAAGGATTTTGAAACATGTTCAAGATACAAAAGTCTTGAGATCATTAGCGAAAATGCTTCTGGTTTGCCTTTTCTTGTTTGAGAACTGAGAACTAGCATTTGATCACATGAAGTTATCAAGAAAAAGAGCAGACTATGAAATATTTCGTGTTCATTTTACATAATTACTTTCCTGTTTTATGTTTTCAGTATCATAAAACAACGTATTTCCAGGTTTATGTAAAAACGTTTTTTGCTATTCTATCTCTAACCCCTTCAGGCCTGTTTTATAATAGCTACTTGATAATAATATATGTTCTTCTCTATATGCTATAACTGAAACAACGTAAAAATAATTATATTTTAACAGTAGTTATGAACATATGTATGTGAACTTGTGTTGAAGATTTTAAAAAGAACACACAAACTGTATAGCAATCAGCAATGCAATAAGAATGTCTGAAAAAACTTTGAGATCCCTTTGAAAAAAACTCTGTTTAAATAATCAACACTCATTGCATCTGCTGTGCGCTCCCTTCTTCCTGAGCTCATGGGGAAATGAGCCCTTAACCAGATTTGGCTTCAGTCCCTCCTGCTGCTGGACCCTAATCTACCGGCACATCAGGGAAGAAGAGGCGGCGTCATTTCTTGTGTGCAGTTTCTGTCAGTTAAGAGCATGAGGTTTCTTACAGGTCTCAGAACTGGGTCAAAGTTCAACAATTACTGAGACCAGAAAGGATGCTGATGATTTTAATGAGAATAAAGGTTATGGCTTTTGGCTGTTGTTGTCATCGCTATAACAATGCATGAGATGATACTTAACCTGGACTGGTAACAGTGGCCCACCAAGAGAGTATTTATAAGGCACTTAAGATAAACACATTAAAAATGTATTTAAAAATGTATTTTTAAAAGATAGACAGCAAAAGTATTATTCACATTAAGCAAAACATTCACAAAAGGAATAAATGTTATGATATTTTATGTAGTACGGAGCCCCTTAAAGGGACGTGGTGAATTCTTGTAAAAGTTTCTCGGAGTAAACGCAAACATTTAGGGAGTGAACGCAAAGTTTCTTGGAGTAAACGGAAAGTTTTAGGGAGCGAACGCAAATTTCTCGGAGTAAACGGAAAGTTTTAGGGAGGGAACGCAAAGTTTCTCAGAGTAAACGCAAAGATTTAGGGAGCAAACGCAAACATTTAGGGAGCGAACGCAAATTTCTCGGAGTAAACGCAAAGTTTTCTGGGGAACGCAAACATTTAGGGAGCGAAAGCAAAGTTTCTTGGAGTAAACGCAAAGATTTAGGGAGCAAACGGAAAGTTTCTCAGAGAAACTCAAACATTTTCGGAGCGAAAGCAAAGTTTCTCGGAGGAACGCAAACATTTTGGGAATGAATGCCAACATCTTTGGAGAGAACGCAAAGTTTCTCTGAGTAAACGCAAACATTTAGGGAGGGAACACAAGGTTTCTCGGAGCAAACAAACATTTACGGAGCAAACGCAAAGTTTCTCGGAGTAAACGCAAAGTTTTCTGGGGAACGCAAACATTTAGGGAGCGAAAGCAAAGTTTCTTGGAGTAAACGCAAAGATTTAGGGAGCAAACGGAAAGTTTCTCAGAGGAACTCAAACATTTTCGGAGCGAAAGCAAAGTTTCTCGGAGGAACGCAAACATTTTGGGGATGAACACAAACATCTTGGGAGAGAATGCAAAATTTCTCGGAGGAACGCAAACATTTTGGCGATGAACGCAAACATCTTGGGAGAGAACGCAAAGTTTCTCGGAGTAAACGCAAACATTTAGGGAGCAAACGCAAAGTTTCTCGGAATAAACAAACATTTAGGGAGGGAACACAAGGTTTCTCGGAGCAAACAAACATTTAGGTAGCAAACGCAAAATTTTTCGGAGGAACGCAAACATTTTGGGGATGAACGCAAAGTTTTCTGGGGAACACAAACATTTTGGGGATGAACGCAAAGTTTTCTGGGGAACACAAACATTTTGGGGATGAACGCAAAGTTTCTCGGAGTAAACACAAAAATTTAGGGAGCGAACGCAAAGTTTCTCGGAGTAACACAAACGTTTTGGGGGCGAATGCAAAGTTTTTTGGGGAACGCAAACATTTAGGGAGCAAACGCAAAGTTTCTCTGAGTAAACGCAAAGATTTAGGGAGCGAACGCAAAGTTTCTCTGAGGAACTCAAACATTTTCGGAGCGAAAGCAAAGTTTCTCGGAGGAACGCAAAGATTCTGGGGATGAAAGCAAACATTATGGGAGCGAACGCAAAGTTTCTCTGAGGAACTCAAACATTTTGGGAGCGAATGCAAAGTTTCTCGGAGGAACGCAAACATTTGGGGATGAATGCAAAATTTGTCGGAGGAAGGCAAACATTTTCGGGGTGAACACAAAGTTTTCTGGGGAACACAAACATTTAGGCAAAAGCTTTTAAAGACTTTTTTTTCCTCCCATCTCATATTTTTTTTCCATCACCTGTCCTCTGTACCTTTTAGTATACTTATTAAAGTTAACTGTATTTAAAGACAAGCTGGAACTGTTTTTGTATTTATTAAAAAAAAAAATCCCAAAACAAAATGACATTGCTATTTCTACAGTTTTTTTTATTTTTTATTAAACTGTACACTTCAGACACTTCAAGGATATGAAGCATGCACCATTCATGTACCAGCAAAAATATGCAACAGGGCACATTATTAACAAAACACTTTTTTTATTTATTACTTTGTACAAAATTGTATGAAACCTTTTTTTTCAGTGAATCTGAGCATATTCACTCAAGAGTTTTAAGCTAGAGCCTGGAGTCTATAAGCAGAACAATAGGCATTATTCAGAGTCTTATTGAAGCACAGGCCGTGTCTAATTACTGCAGTATCGTAAAGCAGAACAAAAACAAGAAATATAGACCCTCCCTTCAACCCCACCCCCACCCCCCAAACCACATCGATGCCCGTTGACCCATATCATTAACAAAGACAAAAATACCCGTGTATATCTAATTCATTATTACCATAACAAATTGTTAATAGAGCAAATGACAGATAACCATACCCAAACATGTTAATACATTCTGTTATTCCATTATCTGAATGTTTGCATCTAGACCTGTTGATGTTTGGTACAAGACCTGTTGCATGTAAATGGTTGTTGACAGTGTCCTACAGTGTCCTTTCATTTAAACCTATTTTAATCAACATTTCTTTGTATCATGACATGCAGCTTTAATGAATATGGAATATTTGTACTTAAAAAATATTTCTCACACTGCATGTTCATACAAGAATGATTATTGGTGAACAAACCAAATACTGAACAGCTTTACAGCCTTAAAAAAATCCATATATGCGCAGAGCCACAAGTCATCACACGTAGTTTCGTTTATCATAGTCCCCATTGACAGATGTACTTTTAGTAGGTGGAAGGACATATTTGGGGGGATACGAGGATTTTTCATCTTGTGGACGTGAGAAACACAGAATTGCTCCTCCGAACAGAAGCATGGCAGATGCTGCCCATCCGATGTAGAGCGCGGCTCCGATTTCTCTCTTCTTTGAATAAGGAACTTGAGGGTTGTAGAATTCTGAGATGATGTTATTGGCCATCCAGCACAGAGGCACCAACACAAACAAGCCCGCGATGATGTATATCACCCCTCCGACGTTGACTACTCTGGCTTTGATGGACTCTTTACTGATGCAGTTGGTGCACTGAGCGCCGGCGATGGTTATCATGAGAGCCAGGACACCCAAGACAGCTGAGATGACCGTCAGAGCCCGAGCAGTCTGGAGGTCAGTGGTCAGCGCCAGGACAGAGTCGTGCATTTTGCACTGCATCTGACCTGTGCTCTGAACCACACAGGACATCCACAACCCGTCCCAGATGGTTTGCGCCACCACAATGTTGCCCTCGATGAAGGCGGACACTTTCCACATGGGCAACCCGCAAGCCACCATCACCAAAAGGGTCCCGATGACACTCAAGCCAAGTCCAATAATCTCCAGACATGCAGAAATCATCTTTGCAAAGTTGTTTCGATGCTCCTTCTCTTAGTTTAGAAAGTCTGGTGAAGTCTAGATTCCCCTCGTGAATCTAAAACAGGTGTTTTGAGCAGAAGTATCTCTACATCGCTCAGCTGTGTTGCAGGATGAGATGCAGAGGGAGTTTTTCTGCTCTGGTATGCAGGGAGGATGCTGTTATAGTGCACTCACAACAAAGAGGAGCAGCTCCGGCCAATCAGAGCGCGGCGCGTCTCTCAACAGCCAATCAGAAGTGAGAGGAGCTGGACAAAACTGGATAACGCTCAACTTCATTACAATTCTGGGGTGCGTTTCCCGTACAACGACGTAACCTGTTGTTTTACAGTCTGAACATACGTGGTGAAAATAAATAAGGATAACTTATTTTAATTAATCTGTTTTGAGATCGAAAGAATGATCTCTCTAATAAATTACGGACATGGCATCTGAGTAGCCTACTATTTCTCATTTTTTCTGCATGCACGCACATGTGCACTCTTCAAAAACGGTGCTCTTTACAAAAAATCTCTTGCACTTTAAAATCTCTTTACAAACTAAAAGACGTAAATTACATTTGTAGTTGTTAAACTACTGCTATATCCACAACTCGAGCTGTCGTTCCAACCCAAAACTTGCGATGCTGCTTGCGAATGTTCCTGGAACTATATGGTTACGGGAAACACAGACTCGTTGAACTATATTGAAACCGACAGAACTTGACTATTGTTGGCATAGCTTTTGGGAAACGCTCCCCTATATAGGCTAAATTCAAAAAGGGACAGAAGCGTTTATGTGCTTTCCTTGTCTGCTGGTATTCTTTAGGAAGGAAATTCTTTGTGGGGTACTAGTGCCTGGTACTACCGTGTGTGTATGTGTGTGTGAGAGAGAGAGAGAGAGAGAGAGAGAGAGAGAGAGGGGAGAGGGGAGGGGGGGGGGGGTCTCTTCAGAACATACATTTGTGCGACACTTTTCTCATTTTTGTTTCTCAATGTTGTTCATTAAAGTTCTGTAACTTTGATAGTTAACTCGATCGTTTGGCAAAGTAGGATAGGCGGCATAAAAACGCAGCACAACCAGCCAAAACAGCATAAACAGTCGAGTTACAGTCGCCTACAATTCAGAACAGAAAGCTCATCCCCCTAGCCACCAATTGGACTAATTTAATCCATTTGCCTGCCTATTTATCTAGCCATATTTCTCATCCGTTTGAAATGCACACTCTTAAAATAATTTAAAACATGGTTTAAAGTCAAAGTTAAAGTATTAGTTCACCCAAAAATTAAAATTATAGGTGTTAGTGAGGTAATCAAGTAGGGCTAGTTCATAAAGGGTTTTAGCCAGTAAACAGGATGGTGTATCGGTCAGGACACAGGAATTAAGACGAGGAGATGTAATTTCCTTCTTTATCTGTATTAATTCCAGTAGTACTCATCAGAACATTCCAATATCCAGTATTGTCATTACAGTCTGATAAAACAGAATAAATCACAATTAGTTACTGTAGTTTAAACAGTTAAACAGTACTAAATTATTATGCAACATGAATAATAAATCCACACACAAAATACAAATCTGGCTCATTAAACATAAATATCTCAATTGACATAAATATTATTCCTTATAAAGAAATAAAGAGTTTTACCCATTTCACTAACCAGTTTCCATAATACTGTTTTAAAAGGGGGTTTAAAGAAAAGATAATAGCGACATCCTCTGGCCAGACAAGGCTACTACACATAAAAGATCGCACATGGTCTCCTGAGCACGATATTAACTCTTTAACTAAAATAAAATAAACATTAGCACGTAACTTGAAGGCTCACACAAGTTAGCTATATTATCTCCCACAGCATTTACACCATGAACATTATTCTAACAACAGAAATCTCACTCATCTCGCTGGGCACATGTGAATACACGGTAAATCTACGACATAGAAACCTAAACACAACAAAATAACAGTCACTTACTTTTCTTCATTCACTAAATACATGGAATACTGGAAGCTGGATTTCTCAGGATGAACTATACAGACTAATCAACCCATGTACGAGGGCTAAACTGCAACTGTTAACTTGAACTCGTTCTCTCTTCTCACTCGAGCCAACACACATCACTTCCTTTACCGTAACCATAGAAGAAGAGTCTTAAAGCGGCAGGCACCCAACAATGTCAAAGCCTTTTATACAGCCGCCCCCAAATGTGCGAGCACATTTGTATCCATTAAAAGGCTTATCAGTCAGGCTGAGTAGGGCTCACAGATGCATCGTCCTCCCCAGACGGGAGAGCTGGCAACATCACCAACCGCGCTACCGGTCGGGTGTATACATGTCCTTTGATGTCCACATCAGCAGATCTAATGCACCCATCATCGCTGCGGTGAATTTTGGTTACATGTCCAATGGGCCACAGGGCTCGAGGTAACTGCGGGTCCACCAGCATGACAACGGCCTTATCCAGTAGTTTAGGAGAAGCAGAGTGCCATTTCTGTCTGGTCTGTAGCCCAGGGAGGTATTCTCTGATGAATCTGGACCAGAATTGGTCAGCGAGAACTTGTGAATGCCGCCAGCGTCTACGGCTCAGGAGCTCCGTCTCAGGATAAACTACTTGGGGAAGGGATCCATCGGGCCGCCCCATAAGCAGACTATTGGGTGTCACAGGGTCGATATCCGCAATATCGGCAGATACATAACCCAATGGTTTAGAGTTGAGAATTGTCTCAACTTCCAGGAGAACTGTGAGAAGGACATCTTCATGAACAGGTTGGGCTCCCACACAGGTATAAAGTGCAGACTTGACAGAGCGGACCTCTCTCTCCCACACTCCTCCAAAGTGTGGAGCTGCTGGGGGGTTAAACTGGAACTTAATCCTCTGACGTGCGAGTTGTTCCCGCAAGGTTGGCTCCATACTAGCAAAAGCCTCTCTAAGTTCCCGCTCTCCTCCTCTGAAATTGGTCCCCTGATCGGACAACAACTCTGCAGGTGTCCCTCTTCTGGCGATGAATCGTCTTAGGGCCATCAAGTAAGCATCCGCATCCATACTTCGGAGGAGATCCAAGTGTACTGCCCTGGTCGTTAAACACTTAAATATTATTCCCCAGCGTTTCTCCTGACGCCTGCCCATCTTCACAAACATGGGCCCAAAACAATCCACACCAGTGGAGTGGAAGGCAGGTTTGTGTAATCTGAGACGAGCAGCGGGAAGGTCCGCCATTCGGGAAATGGAAGGCTGAGCTCTCCAGCGCTGACATTCGGCACAAGAACGCTGGTATCTGCGAATCGCCTCCCTTCCATGGATTATCCAGAATGACCGCCGCATCTCTGCAAATACTCGCTCAGGACCAGGATGCTGCAGGTTGCTATCATACCTCTGGATAAGCAAGCGAGTAACTGGGTGTGTGGCATCCAGAACAACAGGGTGCAATGTCAAGTCATATTGACCTTCCAGGCGTCGGAGCCGACCTCCTACTCTTATAAGGTCTGTGGATTTATCTAACTCCGGAGCCAAGGTAAGTAATCGACTCCCAGGTGAGACGGGTTTCCCTGCTGCAAGGAGTTTATAGTCCTCTGGAAATGACTGTTGTTGGGCTCGCTGAAGAATGACTATCTCTGCCTGTTTGTACTCTTCAGCATTAGGCAGTGAATTGGAAGGAGTTTGCCCTAGGATTTCTTGAGCAGTGGCATCTAAGAGCTCTTGCCAGGTTTGGTACACCTTGTCATCCTTGCTGATGGACACGGGTGAGGTAATCGCTACTCCACAGAATGTGGCCTTCCGAAGTTCACCTTTGGCCTCTAACGGCTCGGTGCTGGGTCTTTCTGGCCAGTTGGCCGGATTTTGGAGAAGGAAGGGGGGTCCTTGAGACCATCGGTTGGGAACTATTAGGGCCTCCAAGGTCTTCCCTCTCGTCAGATCATCGGCAGGATTGTTTGCAGAGTCCACGTAGCGCCAAGTACACTTCTCCGTTAACTCTTGTATCTCCGCTATTCTGGCGCCCACGAAGATCTTGTAGCGGCATGACTGGGAGTGTAGCCAGGTTAGTACTGTAGTGGAGTCTGACCACAATACAGTTCGAGCCACTGTTAAGGTAAGTTCCCTCTCGAGGATATGAGCCAGCTGCGCTGCGACCAGAGCTCCACAAAGCTCCAGGCGTGGGATAGAATGCAGACGTCTTGGAGCTACTCGTGAACGCGCAAGGATGAAAGACAGGTGGATCTGGCCTTCCTTGTTCTCAGTTCTCATGTAGGCTACAGCTCCATAAGCTTGTTCAGAGGCATCTGCAAAGATGTGCACCTCACGGGTGGCCCCCTCCAGGTTGGCATCCAGCGGAACATATGCACGCGGAAATGTAAGAAGAGGTAGGGACTCAAGTTCAGCCTCCCAACTGGACCAGGCTTGCAGGAGTTCGATGGGTAAGTTAGAGTCATCCCAACCTCGCTTCTTTTCCCACAGCTGCCTGATGATAATCTTTGCTCGGGTGGAGAACGGTAACATGTAGCCCAAGGGATCATATTGAGTAGCTAGTACTCTATAAATGTTCCTCAAAGTAGGGACCTCGTAAGCCACAGGCCTATGTTTGTAGCCCAAAGAGTCAGTTGCCCAATTCCAGCTGAGACCGAGTGTTGACTCCAGAGGGTCGGACTTGTCCTGTGCCAGCCACAGGTCTAGGCTTTCAGATCTGGCCTCTTGAGGCAAGTGTCTCAGGACGCCTGGATCATTGCAAGCCCATTGACGCAACTCAAAGCCTGCAGATGCCAGAAGATCCCTGAGCCGATCGACCAGCAGTTTGGCTTTGCCCGGCGTACACGTGCTCTGAAGGCAGTTATCGACGTAAAAGCAGTTCTCAACCGAGAATCTCAGATCATCATCTGGCTGGCAGTGGTCAACAACATGGCGCTGCAGGGCATAGGTCGCACAGCACGGGCTGCATGTTGCGCCAAAAGGCAAAACTTGCCACTCAAATGTTCTTAGGGGCTCTTCCACCTCCAGGTCCTGCCACAGGAACCTTAGAAGAGGGCGATCTTCAGTAAGGAGGCGGACTTGATGAAACATCCCCTTGATGTCTCCACTAACTGCTATGGGATGTTCACGAAATCTCAGTAAGACTCCCAGCAATGGGGCACCAAGGGTAGGGCCAGGTAGTAGGTACTGGTTCAGGGTCTGCCC